TTTCCTCTCCTAACCTACGTTGCCGTCGACGCCATTATCTCAATCGCCGACGACTTTGCCCTCTCGCAATATTGTCTCTTCTTCTTCTTCTTCTTCTTCTATTCAAATCCTAAATCTAGAAACCCAAACCTTAGATCTCTCTTTCTTCACACAACATTGAGTTGCAACAGTGGCTAAAGGGGTAGCGCGAGCTACAGATGAAAAAGAAGAGTGACAGAGAAAGCCGTGAAGAGAGAGAGAGAGAGAGAGAGAGAGAGATGGAGAAACATGAGAACGAAGAAGACTGGACGTGGTGAGGAATAGTGGTGGTGATGAGGATGGGTTAGGTATAGGCTGGAAGAGTCGCCGGAGATGGTGATGATGGCAGTGACGGCGACGGCGACGACAATGGTAACGGCGGTAGTAGAGCAAGATAGAAGAGGCGAGGCAACGACGGGACGACAAGGTGCCGACGTTAATTGGTTGATAAAGTTGTGATAGTGGATTTGATTTTAGAGTTTTTGTCCAAAATAGTAATTTCATTCAAGGATACAATGGTAATTAAAAAAATTGGACAATGGCGTGTACTGAGAGATTTGGTGGTGTGTAAATAGAATCACCCAAATTTCAATAATGGATCTTCGATGCAATGTTCTTCACTGGGGCAATAGTATTATTGATGCAATGACCGATGACGTTCTTTTCAATAGGAGATGGACGGTCATCGAAAGGAGAAAGAGAGAGGGTGTGCAAAATTAGGTGTGTGTGCCCTTGGGTGTGATAATAATATGAATATGAGTAAATTTGACATTAAGTTGAGTGTTTAAAGAAATTTTATTCAAATTTAGGATTTAGGGTAGGGACTCAAAGAAAATGAAGGGTTCAAAAAATTTAGACATGTGCTAATAATAGTCCTCATATTTTATGAAAGTGGGGGGTGATTGAGAGAATTTGATCCATAACAAAACCCTTTGTAATGTACGCTATAAATACTTGTCTCATACAACACTCTATCTGTTAAGCATGTTATGACTCCTATTAAGAAACCTCACTTTTTAAACAGCCCACCACATCTCTGTTCTAAACTTCTTTCTCATAAATATTTGCAACCATAGAATCATGCAATTCATATTTTAAAAATTCACCATAATATGCTTCAAAATATAGAAAGAAATTTAAACAAAGAAAATATTTGACCCGGGTAAGTCAAAGCCCACGTTTGGAAATATATATATATATATATATTGAGTATAATAGTGACATTATTTTATGTAGCGTCGTCGGTTAATAAAAAGTCGTAAATATATTAAACAATCAATCTTTTATCTCCCCCTAACTTAACAATGTTGTGGTTCTTATGGGTATTTTGGGAAGTTAATAAAAAGTTAACTTTTAGCTTTTTTAAAAATAATTTGAGAAGTTGGAAAAAAGTTGACTTTTTTAATTTTTGATTTAATATTTTTTAAAAGTGTCACATCACTCAAAAATGACCAAAATATCCTTACTTTTTGATTTTTGAATTAATTAATTAAAATGTTCCAGAGGGTAGTTTGGTAAATTTGAGCGTTGCTTTTTGGGTCTTCCCAAATGGGATTTTCAGCGTTTTGGCCAAGCTTGGCGTTTTTGACCAAATGACAAAACGTGGCTTTTTGTGTAGGTTGTCAAAACGGCACTTAGGCCCCGTTTGGGAACTTACCTTTTTAACTAAAAAGTCAAAAAGTTATTAAATTAGTCAAAAAGCCAACAACTCATACCAAAAAGTCAAAGATTCTATTTTCTCTCTACTTTTTGCACATCTTTTCGTAATTAGCCAAAAAGTCATCCCAAACATACAAGTTTTTTTTAGCTACCTTTCTAGCCAAATAGTCAAAAAGTTACTAAATTAGCCTGTTCCCCAACGAGGCCTTAATATAAATTCACAAGGCTAATTGGATGGTGATACTGTCACGTTACATCTAATATTTACTCCACATTTGGAGATCTGAAGATTTGAAATGGTCTTGAGTCATCTTGTCTTATAAGTTGTTAGTGTACCTAAGAATGGATCTAGGAGGCGACTGCACCTTCAAACATTTGAAAAATATCAAATATTATATTAGAAAATTTAAAATAATTTAAAATTATAAGAGTTTACACCTCTAACATCTTTTTATATACTCATAGTGATAATTTTAGATTCCCACATCAATAACAAAGAGATATGTAATTACATTGTTAACAAAAAATAAAAATGAGAAAATTACAAAACACTATAGTTTGGACACATAACCACGGGGCGTTTCGGAGAAACTGATATCTACCATTGCTAGTGGTGGCTATGCAACAAACACATCCAATGGAATTTTTTATTCAGCTCCAATTTTTTGAGATAATTGAAATGGTGTTTGTTTCATAATTCAAAATGACAACATACTTTTTTGAAAAAAAAATATTTTAATACTTGTTTGATTAGATAAGTTGTAGAATAATACTCACATTTCAATGTTTAATTATAATTTTTTATTATTCAAATTATATTTCAATGGACATTCTAGTTAACAAACTTAGTAATTTTTTTAATCTTACAAATAATAATGTAAAACATGTAATTGAGGTTTATATTTATATTCATTGTAAAATAAACTTAAAAAAGAGAGGATTTTTTTTATATTAATCCATATAGATAACCAATTCTGGCTTCGTTTGGGAAGTTACTATTTCAGTCGGCTATTTTAGTTTTTGGCTATTTTAATAGGCTAAAATTTTTGTGCTTGGGAAGATGATTGAATTTTTTTGTGGTTGGATGTGATGTTTGTGAGAGAAAAAGTGAAATGATTATGGGTTTGATGTGATATTTTGTTTTATTAGCTATTTTAGCCTATTTTATCTTTTTGTGAATTTTAACCTAAACTAGGCTATTTTTTTTTCTTGCCAAACACCCCCTCTATACCGATTATATGAATCATTAATCTCTTTACTAATAATCTTACTAATCAAACAAAACACGTTAAAATAAATTTTAGAACAAATTATACTAGTGGTCCTTATGTTTATTCCTTGTGTTATTTAGTCTTTACACTTTCAATTAGCTCAATGTTGACTCTTAATTTTAAATTTTGGGTCAATTTAATCCAATTGATAATATATTTAGTTTTTTTTTTTTTTAAATTATCACTAAATTGGTTGAGCTTAACTCACTACGTTGGGCAAGTTTATAATTTGTCCTTAAAAATATGACACATGACACTTATGTGCATATGTTTTATAAAAAAATGTAAAGAGTTATAATCAATTTAAATCAAATTGAGACAAAATTATAAATATAAGATCAAAATCAAACCAATTAAAATTATAAAACGTAAAATGATTTAAAAATCAAAATATCAGGGGCTACTATCATAATTATTAATAATTATTAATTTAAACAATGAAACGTATGACTTTGATTATGTTGACATTTTAAGGAACAATAATGCACCTTAATTTCTCTCTTTTGTTATTTTTTTGTGATTTTTCCTTTGACTAATTTTTTTGGTTGGAGAGTGTGGATAAAACGTGTATTCCTCCCGCCAATGACGACTTTAATAAAAAAATCTGCAGATGCGCTTAAACACCTTGACCTCCTTCTAGCCCTCAGCCAATATTCAACAATTCTACGTATCATGGAAAAAAATTTACAAAATTTATTTTGAAATCTTTTTCGATCAATTTGTCAGTCGATCCTAAGCTTTATCAGTTGATTATTGACAATTTTAAAATATTTTTGTAATATACTTTTTCATTATCTCTAATATTTTCAGTCAATATTTTATCTAAATGTAACGTTCTAAAATTTAAGATGTATACAAAAAAATACCTTACATAATTAAATTTATTTTAAATATAGCTCTTGTCACACTCAAAATAAATTTTAATCTTCCAGTACATTTTTTTTTTATACTCCTACATTTTATGTTCTAATTCTGTATAGAAAAATGTTTGATAGCTCGAATTTATGTGACTCAAATGGCTTTAATGTATCAAAACGATGTTGTTTTACATCTAAAATAATGTCGTTTTCAGACATTTGAGCCATTTAGACCATAAAAATTTAGACTACCAAGTATTATTGTTCTGTATATTAATGTTATCGTACTTTCCCCGCCTTATTAACTCAAAAGAAGAAAAAAAATACGAACACCTTGTTATGCATTTTTTTGTAGAAATGTTACCTAATTTAAGATAATTTGTTATTAAAAAATAAAATTATGATTTTTTACATTAATATTATTAGTACAAAATGTATAATTTTTATAAATAATAAATTATGGCAATTCTATGTAAATATTATGCAATATTTGACATAAAAATTTGGGAACAAATTTTTTTTTTTTGGTTGCTAAAATAGCCAATGGTCTCGGGAATATGCTAGCTATGTTAGTATGGTTAAAAAATTTGTGTTAATTTATTTTTGTAGTTGATTTGATAGTTGTAAGAAAATAAATAAAATGATTATAAAAAGTTAGATCTGACATTTTATCTTATGGACTTTTCAGCCTAGTTTGTATTTATTGACTATTTTAACCAACTAGCCTTTAGCCAAACAAAGCTAATAAAGACAACCAAAAAAACAAAAAAAAAAAAGAAGCTAAGATAATTAGCCCCCGTTTGGCATCCATTTTGAGGCAAAATAATCAAAAAAAAATTGACTATAAAAGTCAATAAGACAAAATACTGCTTTTTACCCATAATTATTACACTTTTTCTCTTACAAAATCAAAAAAATCTCAAAACAAAAACAAAACAAAGCTAAAAAAATCTCAATATAAAAAAATTGGCTATATTAACCAATACTAAATGACTTCTCAATAAGACAACATCCTACCCATTAATCAATTAATTTTTCTCTTATAATTATCTATTCAATTAAAAATATATATATATATAAATCATCTCAAATAAAACCCCTTTTTTTAATTTAATAAAATAGTTAAAAATTAAAAAAATCAATTAAAATAGCCAACGAGGCGGAAAAAAAAAACCTTTTGACAGTCCAAGTTGAACACATCCCCATCCCCATCCCCAAAAGGCCACCTTCTCTCATTGTCTCTCTCTCTATCTCTCTCCACCGACTGTGTTTTTGTCTCTAATTGTAAAGGATCTGATCTAGGGTTGGGGCTGGACCAGCCATGGCTGTTGCGAGTGCGTTTGCAGGGGCCAAGCTCGAGACTCTCCTCCTCAGCAACACTGCCGCCGTCGCAGCTTCGTCGCCGGCGGTGGCAGCGTCTCAAATTCGAGTCCTCTGCAAACCACTTGGAGCCACACGACCCCTCATTCATAGAGCTCGACCTACCATTCGCTGCCAGGCTGCTTCCGATGTCTTTCTTCCGACACCCGATATGATCGATCCAAACACGGCCTTAGCTTCTCCTTCTGCTAGCCTCTCTGCTCTCGAACAGCTCAAGATATCTGCAGCTGACAGTACGTCAATATAATCAATTTTGTTTTCATTGCGATCGCGAATCGTTTTCTGTGCTGTTTTTAATTTGTTTTCAATTCTGGGAATTTTTTTTTTTTTTTTTTTTATAACTATGGAATGCGAAATGCACTTTCAATCTAGTTTCTTCTTGCGGTTTCATTCATTGATTTGACCATTTATTGTTAATATCTGCACAAAAAAAAAAAGTTGGTCTTTTTTAGCTGATTATAGGAGTTTTCATAGATTAAATCTTATAATTGTAAAATTTTTGAATGTCCAAGACTCAGACGGATTATTAAAAGGGAAAGAACAAGCAAAGCGATGAGTGACCACTGATTAGTATTTATATCTACATAATTTGGATTTCGGATTGCTCGGATTGTTGGTGTCTTTGCCCAAGCCTGCCCATATTTAATTTGGGCTTTGAATTTTTGTCCAAGCCGCACCGAATTCAAAAATATTTTGTTCAATCTCTAAAAAAATTTAGACTGGGCTCAGGTTGCTCGGGTTCAGTCCGCCCAAATTGCACCCCTAACACTGGTTGTCTCGCTCTGATTTCTCAATTTATATAGGCGTACTTTGGAGTTCTGTACTTAAGAGTCTTAGATGCTATATTTCTTAATTTTGAATCAGAGTGTTTTTTCTTTAAAATTTCATGTGATTTATCAAGTCATTCATTGATTGTTTAACATTCCAACTTCCAACTTCATGCGATGGGTCGTTGGAAACATGGTAGGTTGGTCAATCTGAAAGTAATATTTGTAGTTTCGATGAACAGGTCTGGAGGGCCTTAACTTACTGCAATGAGGCTACCATAATTTGTATCAAACAAATCAATTGAAATTCAAACTACTAGTAAATATTCGAATGTGCAGTAGGCTTTATGTTGAGTGTTGACTAGCTAATTGACATGGGTCAGTTATCACAAATGTATCCAATATCATTGTTTCTTTCTAGAATGACTGCGTGTACGTACAATACTTTTTTTTTGATTCTATTGTGCTTTTCACTTGACACTTGTCCTCCTTTACATGTGCATATGTGACTATGTGGTATGCTGGCTATTTACTTCTGTTTGCCTTTTCTGGGGTATCTGTAGTTATCGAAGGAGATGTTTTTATATAGCAACTTCAGCTGGTGATGGATACATTTTCTGATATGCATCAGACTAATCGCCTAATTTAGTGCATCTTTTTCTTGCTAATTCCTTATGTCTGAATTCAGTATGTTAATAGCTTTAATTAGTATCGCCTTGTTGTCTTGCTATTGTAGTATGAAAAAACTCTCATTCCAAGTTGGGTGACTGCATATGTCGGTATTCTGACCGTGTGGTGTTGTTTTATGTTCAGTTATTCTGTAAACTTCTGCCACTACATGTATTCCTTTTCATTAGTCCGCCAAATTAAAGGAAAATTTGCGTTGTCTTTGTTTTGACACACGATTGATGAGTCATGTATGTTTGTTTTTACTAATTAGTGGAAGATAATCAGGTTTTTGTTTTTAACTTGAAGATTATTTTTTTAATTTGTCTGGGTAATCGTAATATTGACAGGAAAGTTTTGTTCATCATTTGGATACATAGGGACCCATATACATGAATGGGAAATTTTTTCCTAGATGGATCTGAAATTTTATATCTGATGTCATCAGGGTATACAAAGGAAAGGAGCAGCATTGTAGTAATTGGGCTCAGTGTCCACACTGCACCTGTTGAAATGCGTGAAAAGCTTGCCATTCCTGAAGCAGAATGGCCTCGAGCCATAGAAGAGCTGTGTGGTTTGAATCATATAGAAGAAGCTGCTGTCCTTAGTACCTGCAACAGGATGGAGATATATGCTGTAGCATTGTCTCAACATCGTGGCGTAAAAGAAGTGACTGAATGGATGTCAAAGGTACTTCACCTCTTTCCCCCTCTCCCGTCATCCTTACCTTTATTTATTTTTAATTTTTTTTATGCTGCCATTTAGCTTCTGCCATTCACTGAAAAAATTATTTTCTTTTAGACAGGAGCCTTACTGTGAAGTCAAATGTTTTGAACCATATGAGATAGGTTTGATTTCTTAGTAGAACATTTGAGGGTATCTACATTTCAATGACACTTACCATGCTATAAGTCTGACCAGAGTTCACTTGGCACTTGAATTGACCTCGAGATATTTAAATTATCTGAAGATTCTGAACTGTCATTGTAGTTATCAGTTATCTTATCACCATCAAACTGTAGTTCTTTCTTTCCTTTTCTCCCTTTCCCTTTTTGTGGTGCTAGATTTATCTTGTTACTAAAAAGTGGGGTGTGCTCACTTCCATGCATGTTTTCTATTTGATTACAATATTACAGCTTTCTGTCTAATTAGTAGGGGTGAGTATGGTCCGGATTGGAGTAAAATTAGAACCAATCCGTTATCTACGGATCTTGAAAAATTGGAACCAATCCAATCCGTTTAAATCGTGGAACCAATCCGAACCAATCCATTTAAATACAGATTGGATCGGTTTAGGACCACGGATTTATATAATTAAATAACAAAAATATATATATAACACTTTATTTTCATAAAAATATAAATATAGCACCATATTAGTTTCACAATAACAATATGTCTTTTCTTAATAGCGACAAACTGTTTTAGAATTTAAACAACTATAAAGAAACTAGTTCCACCATAAGTATTTAGACCATTACAAATTAACACTAAAAACTAGCAAACAAAAGTAATAAAAGAAGATACTATGCAAGTTTAGGTTTGGATTTAAGTTTTATATGAAATAAGAGAAGATACTATGCAGGAGGGTGTATAATAAAAATATAGACTATTTGTATACGGTCCGGATCGTTTCCAATCCGGAACTGTGGGATTCAATCCGGAACCAATCCGTGAACTACGGATTTTTAATTTTTCAATCCGGAACCGAACCACGGATTCAAAAAACCAATCCAAACCTACTGGATTGGACTGGACTGGATCGGATTACAGATTTCACGGATTCCGTGTTCAACCCTACTAATTAGACTATATCAATTATGTTACTGTATTAAAATGAATGTGATTATCATTCTTAAGATATTTGCTTTTTTTTTTTTTTTCCCCCTTCTTTGTAGACAAGTGGGATTCCTATTCCAGACATTTGTGAGCACCGATTTTTGCTTTATAATAAAGATGCTACACAGCATATCTTTGAAGTATCAGCAGGGCTAGACTCCCTAGTCTTGGGAGAAGGTCAAATCCTAGCTCAGGTCAAGCAAGTTGTCAAAGTTGGGCAAGGAGTCACTGGCTTTGGCAGGAACATCAGCGGACTGTTCAAGCATGCAATCACCGTCGGAAAACGGGTTAGATCCGAGACAAACATTGCAGCTGGGGCAGTTTCTGTTAGTTCAGCTTCTGTTGAGTTGGCCTTAATGAAGCTTCCGGAATCCAGTCATAAGACTGCTAGGATGCTCGTCATTGGAGCAGGCAAGATGGGGAAGCTTGTGATCAAGCACTTGGTAGCAAAAGGATGCACCCAGATGGTGGTAGTGAATCGAACGGAGGAGAGAGTGGCTGCCATCCGTGAGGAGTTAAAGGATGTTAAGATAATCTACAAACCCCTTTCAGAAATGCTAGCCTGTGCTGCTGAAGCAGATGTAATTTTCACCAGCACTGCATCAGAAGCCCCATTATTTTTGAAAGAGCATGTAATGGATCTTCCACCTGTTGGTCAGGAAGTTGGGGGTTTGAGGCTTTTCATTGACATCTCTGTTCCTAGAAATGTGGGTTCATGTGTCACAGATCTCGAGACTGCACGGGTTTATAATGTGGATGATCTTAAGGAGGTTGTGGCTGCTAATAAAGAGGATAGGCTTCGGAAAGCAATGGAAGCCCAGGCAATTATTGTTGAGGAGTCAAAACAATTTGAAGCTTGGAGGGATTCGCTGGAGACTGTTCCCACTATAAAGAAATTGAGAGCTTATGCTGAAAGAATCAGAGTTGCGGAGCTAGAAAAATGCTTGTCAAAAATGGGTGATGATATCTCAAAGAAAACAAAGAGGGCTGTCGATGATCTTAGTAGGGGTATAGTTAACAAGATCCTCCATGGTCCAATGCAGCATCTGAGATGTGATGGGAGTGAAACTCGGACTCTTAGTGAGACCCTTGAGAATATGCACGCGTTGAACAGAATGTTCAGTCTTGAGACTGAGATGTCTGTGTTGGAACAAAAGATTCGAGCCAAGGTGGAGCAAAACCAGAAATAAACTTGTATGTCAAATTTCTTTCACTACAGTTCTTTCACTCGAATCTTGAATTAGTAGAAAGCTTTCATTTATTAACTGTTGACACATCCTCTAATTTGGGGTTCGTTCAAGTGTCTACAGAGTGTCTTCAAGTGGCCACTCGACTTTCGTAAGATACAGTTGAGGCTTAAACAGCGTACCAAATGATTTGTACCATGTCTGTTTCAGAAAAACTTTGAATTCTTGTAATTAATTTACTGATGAATCCAATATTGAGGTTGGCTTCTTCAACATGACCATTTTGATGAGATTCTGCTTTCCTATCTGCATTTGGAACAATGCCGTGCAAATTTCACTATTAAAGCAATTATTGCAGATAATTGTGGGTTTTGGAGCTCAAGAAATCTGTATTTGCACAACATAAGAAGTTTGATATTTGTTGTGCATTCTTTTTTTTATGAGATAACTGTTTGCTGACACTCTCAATTCAGAGGCATGGTTTAGAAGTTTGGGGCTGAAAATTGAAGTGTGTATTGCAATGAAGGAATTTTACTCCCTCTCCATAGTGTTTGTTGGATCGGTAAAGGTATGGTGAGGAACTACTTTACAGAATAGGAGGACCCGTCATGAGAGGGCATCTTTCATAAAGAAGAAAATTTATTTGGTTTGAAATGTTCTAAATAAATATATTTTTTGATTTTTTTATGAAAATATGTGTAGAAAAATAGAGAAGTGATGTGACCTGAAAAATTAAGGATAAAAAGTGTGTACTTATTAGTACACGCCAAACTTGGCCGAGGAAAATGATCCTGTTATGGCATTTTTTCTGCCTATGTTTAAAATTAAAGCAAAATTACGTTGTTTTAGGGAGTGTGAATTTAATGTTCTTGTACCTTTGTATTAACTTGAATTGTTGAATTATGTGCTTTGCCGACATGTTTTACTGTAATAAAATTTCAAGATCATTGCAGAAAAATGATTGCAGAGAAATCAAGACTCAAAACATGAAAGACTTTTTACCACACAAAACAAAACTTGCTTTTTATGAGAAATTTTGTCTCTTTTTTTATTTATTTGTTTTTATATATAAATATTTTCGAGTACATAAAATAAAAAACGATACCAAACATAAAATTATCTATATTACTTTTATTGGTTGTATTTATTTATATATCTTTAGCCGAAAACAAGATGAGTTTTTTCCAAACTGTTTTCGTAGCAAAAATAAAATATTTAAATCTAAAATGTGGAAGGCCTTTGATCTGAGGATAAGTCACAATAAACCCCCTTAAATTATGATTCATTTTCACTTTGCTTCTTAAATTTTAAAACTCAGCAGTTAATTTCCTCAAAGTATTATCTCGTTACAACTAACCCATTCTGTTAGGGATTTACACAAAATTAAGTCATGTGTGAAATACATGATAAACTTATTAAATTTTTATGATAATAACACATTATAAATTTATTAAATTTTTATGATAATAATGCTCTTATTTGGTAATCTATTTGTACTTAGTCGCTAAGATAAAAAAAGGAAAGTGCAAATAAGATCACAAAATAAGAGTATTATTGTCCTTAAAATTCAATAATTGTATCATGTGTTTAATATATCATTTGATTTTATTTAAATCCCTAACATAATCCTAACGACAACGGTTCAGCGTAATAAGATAATATTTTGATGTGGTTTATTGTTGAATTTTGAAGTTTAGGGTGCAAAGTGCAAATAAGTCATAATTTCAGGAGGATTTAATGTAATTTACCCTTAATCTAACAATAATACTTGGGACTAATAACTCAAATGCAAAAAATACTCAGAAAAATAATGACCATATTCAGTTTGATTTGCATAAACTTTTTTTGAAATTTTTTTTGAAAATCTAAAAATTAATTTGGTGAAAGAAATAAAAAATAAAAAATGCTTATCATTTTTATATAATTTTATCTTTTAAAAGACCAAAAATAATTTTTAAAAATAATTTTTTTAATATTTATTTTTATCAAATTAATTTTCATTTTTTCAAAAAAATTTCTGAAATTTTTTCTTAAAAAGAAACCAAACAAGACCAACATCATTAAATTTAGTTCTTATGGAACTCACATTTAAAAATGAAATTCAATCCCACTATATTTTTGTCCTATGCAACCATTCGAAAATTGATAGAAAAGTTGGGAGTATTGACATGATTTGAAGTGGACATGTTTTTGAAATAGGTACATACTACCCTAGTTTGCTACTATCATCTTCACTGTTTAATTTTATTTTTTAAAGTCAATTAAGGCCGGCTGAGCATAACCTAACCTTCAATTTCAAGGAGCTAATTTGATCAAATTGAGTCTAAACAAAGCTTACCAAATTGGTATATCATTGAGCTCCTCACAATTTATTTAACTTTGCACGAGTAACACTCACGATTCCTGAAATTTGAAACTTGTATCACTTTAATTCTTGATCTTTTAATTGCGATACATTTAATTCTGAATTTAGAATAAGATTCAAAATTCAAGATCAAATATGTCACCATTAAAAAATCAAGTATTAAAATAATACAAGTCCTAAATTATAGAGACTGTTGATGTAATTTACTGTTAACTTTTTTTAAGCCTCAAAATGAACCGAGTGTGAATTGGTTTTGAACCATTTGATTCCTCACCAACCTAACTTCTCATGTACCTTCTAGTTTTTTAACTTTTTCGTAAGGTTTTAATCACAAACGCATATATATATATATATATATATAACAGAATGGTGATATTGTTAATATTTGTAACAAAACAAAAAGCAACCAAGTAAATTATAATGAACTATACAATTATAGCAACTTCTAATTAAAATGTTAAGGGGTTAATATTTGCCAAAGGCAAAGATTGATTGATTATTTTTGCCTATTATAACGGCTCTTTGTTTTATTGAATAGTTTATTACTTTTTATTATGAGTTATTTCTTGTATTGATTGTTGGCTTTTAAATATGTGTTGCACTATGATTGTGCAATTGGATATAACTCTCATCATAATTATTAATAATCTTGTATTCATATAAAAAAAAAAAAAATCCATTTTCACTAGCTAAGAACATCTCCACCCAAACCTTTAAATTTTCATGTCAATTTTTTTTTTTTTTTTTTTTTTTTTTTTTTTGAATTTTGAAGATGAGGTGGCAAATTGATATATGCCTAGTAATGCAAGTAAAATATCAGTAGTGGGAAACAGTAAGCTCTGTGGGGGGGTTGCTGAATTGAAGCTACCTAAATGTAACTTTGAAGTGGATGAAAATAAGAGATCAAGCAGTGCCTTAACTTTAACACTCTCTATGCCAATTTGACATGAAAATTCTTCACTTGATATGTCAAATCTATTATTTAATTATTTTTTAAATTTAAACTCTTTTATTTCACATGGAAGCTCTTTCATTTCGAAGAAAATGCATGAAGTAACAAGAAGTCAAAATTGACATGAAAGAGTGATGCCGAATGCCACTTCAGCTTTCGACACATTGGTTGGAGTTGATACTTGATACCAAAATATGACTATTAGAGTGTCGCATCATATTTAAAGTATCAGGTGGATGTGCTCTAAGATACTAAACCATCTGTCTAAATCTCTCGGCTCTTTGCCTCAAGCCACATCTCTTCCTGATACTGTATTTAAAGTAGTTGTTTGAATTCCTTATGATATGCAATTGAAACAATCTCTTGTTTGAACAAATCGTCTTGAATTCTTCAGTTGGTGGTCTTCGGGTCTTCAAAACTTGACGATAAACTTGTCTATATAGAATGTAAATTTGATGCTTCAAGTCGTGTTACTAAGTCGCTTTCGTAAAAACAATATTTGCACCTACAAATAGGTGTGCAGGGGGTTACAGCAAATTTACTTCCAAAATACAATGAAGCTTGATCTGAAGATCAAGTCTATCGGCGTCTGTACTGATGACAATAGATCAAAACACCCTTGATATAATCAAGAAAACCAAGATACTAATAATCAAATCTGCAAAACTTGATTACGAGTAAGAAAAACAGAAATTGCTTAAAGAAACTCTTGATTGAAAACTCAAAATCAAGAGGGAGGGAGAGAGAGAGAGAGAGATAATTGCAGGAATGCTGAATGCTTCTGAATTTTGTGGATGAAATGAAATGGCTGATTTCGCAGCCTATTTATAGGCCTTGATGCATCTAATCGAATGGTCATGTCCCTTGACCGCATCCGATCAGATCTGACCGTTGGATTGACGATCTACGGTGCAGATCATTCTTACACTGAATAGATGCCTTGACTAATCATACCTGATCACGATCGGATGTCATCTCATCCGTACGATCATCCGTACGATTGCGCGCATCTCTAATCAACGGCTATGATCAAATCGCTCTAGATCGGACATACAACTGTTCGATCGGTTGGTTAACTCACTGCCAACAAACGCCACGTGGAGCTGACTGTATTCCACGTCACCCATGCCACGTCATCGCTCCAACCTGTAAACGCCACACTTTGCCCACGTCGCGGGCGCATGTGCAGATGGTGCGAAGCACATTGCGATGTGAGTGCATGTACACTAACATTCATTCCATAATACCATATTCAAAGGAATATTTCATGTAGCACTTTATGAAGTGCTCCATGTTTTCCTCTTTTTTTGATGTAGAACAAAGCCCCAAGTTTATTTCATGCTTTCCAAAGAAAAACATGAAAGGTTTTAAAAACACTCAAAAATAAACTATAAATTTGAAAACTCATTTTGAAAATTCCCCAACATCTCTCCACTATTTGCCCCAAGCCATGGCATGACACTATGATTCCACATTAATTAACATAAACCTTGCCCATGTCTATATAAGTCTCTTGAACACAGGTGATTATTCAGTACTCTCGGAATATAGACACATGGTGCTCCATAAAGTTTTGATTGGTGGAGAAACATAAAAGCCCACGATTTATGTTGAAGTTAGGAGGACAACATGAGACTAACTAATTAGTGATTGGTTTAGAGTATGAACACGTGGTGCTCCGAGAATATTGAATAATTTCCCCTTGAACACTCTGTCCTTGTCAGTTAGTTTTCAAAGTGACTTCCACCAAAGAATTCATAGCGTTTGGTATTAGAGTATGAACATTGTGTTTAGTACGAGATTGGGCAGATGTTATGCTTTTAAGTTGTATGTATATATTTCAGAATAGATTAGACTTCTCCTATGTTGAGATCTCAACATAAGAGAACTCTCCCGAAAGGAAAGGCCTATTAAGGGTCTCGTTTCAATAATCCAAACTATTCATTTTGTAAAGTTCTCAATATATATCATCCAAGAAAAAATTTTAAGTCAATTCAATAATAGTAATATTTTCATTTTATTACGTTTGTCTCTAAAAAAAATAGATGATTTATTTCAAAAATATATTTATAATCCATTTGTTCAAAGACAAATACAATAAAATAAAAATATTATGATTATTAAATCAAACTAATTTTTTTCATGAACAATATATATTGAGAGCCCTGCAAAATAAACAATTCAGATTATTAAAATGGACCTGTGGTGGACTTTATAAGCCCCTCACGTCCCCTCTTAAAGAGTATAAAAGACCAACCCTTCAAGAATATAGAGCATTGTTGGAGAATGTAGTTAAACAAGTTTTGCCATATTTTGGGGAAAAATTAGGGAGTTGACCAAAAGAAGGTTGAACCTTTAAACTTTTATGAGGCCATGGCTGATAGTTCTACTCCATCTGGTCTGGTCCGGCTCTTCACATAATATGATTAGCATTTTACTGACGATGCATTCAATCTGAAGGGATGTGAATTACAAATATTATATAATGTTACAGTACGATCCCTAAATCCAACACGGGCAGCAAAATAGGTAGAACATTCTAAATTTTCTTTTCTTTCATCTCTCCACAGTCCAATGGAACCATCAAATTGAATTAGAAACCATAATCCACCTATTCCCCGGGTTGCTCATCTTTCCTTTTCATTTCTAGGGGAAAATGAGTCATAGTTGGATAAGAACTATGAACTGATTTCATTATGTTGAACAAAGTTATTCAAATGCAAATCAAAGAACAAAGAGCAAAACCAAAGAGAAAAAAAACGACCGAACATTCAAACCCATTCCACATAGAAAATCATGATTAAATACTTGCAAAATATGTCCAATACCGTCACAAGTGACACAAGAGTGGATGGATACACTAGTGCATGCACTATACTCGTATAAGCTTTTAATGAAGACTTGGGCTCGTGGACAGTTTAGACTGGGCATTTCATTAAATGCAAAATGAAACCAGATTGTTCGACAAACATTACACTTCAGATACTAAGAATTAAGTGTCCTGTTAGGTAAACAAGGACACGCCACGCAGATCACATAAGTTGCAGAAGTACCCTCGGTAAAGGGTCTTAGAAGTTTTATGTATATTAGATCAAACAGACAAATCTTACGGCAATATGATTTACCAGAAAATTTAAAATACAGATAGTATAAATAATCTAAGGCATTTACCCATGATCTGCTGTCCAGTTCCAACGCCCTATTTTCAAGAAAAATCTAAGCGATTTGCTTTTCAATCTTACCCTTCCATATTGGTGGATGGATAGCAACATCATGCATAAATGCTAATAGCTAGTTCCTGTTCCGGCTTTTTTCAACGGTCCTAGGAGCTGCACACAAGAACAAATTTTCTTAAAAATAACAGTGTTACTATCCAGATTACACAAACACGAAACAGAGAACAAAATGCACAAAAGCGTTAAAGCAGCTTAGAAAACAAGCAATCAAGAATTCATCAAGACATCCTAAAAAGTGATCTTCTGTGACTGCCTCTACATCGTCCAGATTATGTTTATCAATATCATGAAAGATGACACAATTCAAACTATAAGGACAACTTTTTTTTATTTTTTATTTTTATAAATAGTAATAAAGAAGAAGAAAAAGAGAGAGAATCACTCTCTGAATTCATAGGATTACCATATATTGGCAATGTATCACAAATACAGGAAATATCTGTGAAAATACTCCAAAGTTACTGCTTGAAACTAAAATCAAACACAATTTTTGGACAACAAACTGATTTAAGTCAGCTTGACTCACTATCTGTTTTCCTGCAATTAGATTTTCTTGGTCGATATGCATCAGAAAAGCACTTTCTCACAATTTTTCCAGATACTGGGATGAAAATACAAAACAGCATCCAAGAAAAACAAATTTTAATTTTTGGTTTGAAGCCGAATATCGAATATTTGTTTGATAAAGAAACCAATCAACAATAGAGCAGCAGGACCTTCCTAAAAGAAACATTGTATTATACTTCGCTTGGAAAGTACCAGGAAATAGTGATATTGAAAAATTTTCATAGCAGAAATTGTAGAGCATAGGTGATGCAGGACAATTAGGGACAGCAGCAAATCTAGGCTTTTGGGTCTGATTTTATTGGATTTTGTGGCTGCAATTGCAATAAGAATATAGGGGACAAGTAGGATTTGTTTAAGGTTATAAATAAGTAAGAGTTTAAGCATGAAAAGATGGGATTTTAGCACTATTTACGGACTATTACGAGGCTGTGAACAGTAACTCGTGAATAGTAAACTAAAACAGAAAAGAAGATAGGCCTAGGCATCACACTTAGATTCCATAAACATCACACCTAAGGCTTGATTACATCACACAACCCATAAAAAAGTTTCAAAGCTTTCAACTGTGTATAAAATATCAACTCCATTGAATTATAAGAATTACATTTTGGCAAAAAAAAGAAAGAACTATAAGAATTACACGACTTTATATAGAATTAGGAGACTTTCTAAATCAACTATAACCAAAAAAGGAAACTATTATAATATATTTGATTTTTAAAACTAATTTAAGACTAAATAAGAAACATAAATAAAACCTAATTAAATAACTTGACTCACACGACGACCCATAGGTGACCCATACAACCTATGTCAGTAAATATAAAATTATCAAAATACCCCTTGCCTAAAAATCCTAGAAAACATAAAAATAATCATCAAATAGAACTATAATAATATTATAAACATGATTATGTATGGTTCCCTTATCGATTTCTCTTTGAAACCATTCCAATTTCCAAATATTGCCACTTCTTTGAATTTATTCTTCCTCGAGTTTCTTATATTCTTCATCAATAGGCCACTGTATGTATCAAGTGTGAAAGGTTGGCTAGAGTAGTGAATTATTACTTGCTTTCTTTTTCCTTTTGCTTATGGCTGAATCAATCAACTATTTATAATGACAGGCCTGGATGAGATGGTATGCTTGATTTTCTCTCTCCCACTTCCCCAATCAGTTCTGAGTTGTCTTGTTATGTTATTCCCCCACTATCGCCATCCATTGTTGTCAAATCAAGAATAAATTGTTAAGTGCATCCACTCATGAATCGTGATATTCACTTTATTTAGCATAATATGTAACTTTATATACGTATATACATAAAAATACATAAGGTGTCTAAAATAAAATAAATATCAACATAACTAAATTGTAAGGCCTTGCTTGGGAACATGTTTTTTTAGTAACTTTTTGGCTTTTTGGCTAAAATATGATGTAAAAAAAACTAGTATGTTTGGGATGACTTTTTGATTTGGCTAAAATATGATGTAAAAAAAACTAGTATGTTTGGGATGACTTTTTGACTTTTTACGAAAAGATGTGCAAAAAGTAGAAAGAAAATGAAATCTTTGACTTTTTGATATAGGTTGCTGGCTTTTTGGCTAAAAAAGTCACTTGCCAAACGAGACCTATGTATATACATATAAATCCACGTATATCAATATAATTAATTTATCTCTTTGAAGAAACTGTTTTATTCATTATGCAAACAAAAATGAATCATAGCGAATCACAAAGAATCATAGTGAAATGCAATTGAATCATAAGATTCACTCAATTAAGATTGAACAACATGAATCGAATCATTTTGGTTGAAACTCATATCGAATTGAGATCCCACAGAATGGACATCTCTTGCAAGTAGACCAAGGATGCAATAAAAGTGAATTTCTCAAAACAGGATTTTTTTTTTTTTGGTAATATCTATTTTTTGGTATAAAACTTACGACTTACCTACCAAAAAATAAATAAATTTTTGTGTGTGTTCGTTTTAGCAACAGGTAAAACAATAGCTCCAAGATAAACAAATGGACCACCAAAACAACTCACCTAGGCCAATAGCATCAGAACTCTTCATGATCCTGAGCCTCTTGCAAGTATCAATGAACATCCTGCCATAGGTCCAAGCATGAATTAAGACTCCAAACACAAAATGCAACTTTGCAAAGAATACTTTGGCCAACAATTAACATTATGTTGAATTTTATCCAGATATAAAATTCTGATGCTTAAGAATTGCATTAAAGAAAATTAAGACCAGAAGCTACATAAATAATTTCATTATCAACTAAGGTTCCTTTTGTCCAGGTGGAAAGCTAATTCAGTGGGGAAAATATTTTAATGCTGATAGATGAGGACAGCGTTGATGATTGAGTTCATCACCAGTTGGAGCAATATAGTTGCAAGTTCTAAATTATTGGGTTACATGAGAGTGATCTCTCTAGCCCATTCCCCAACAGATGGCACCTTAAAAACAATCTAGGAATCCATTTTCAATCATTTTGAGGAAACGTAGAGCAGTCATAAACAAAGTACTTATACAGATCCGGTACAGGAACAAACAACTGTAACTTTGAGTTTTCCTGCAACTTTATAAAATATAGGACATTCACCCACTTTGATGGACACTCGTCCACATTGATGGACTTGTATGTGGGACAATTGTTGACACAACAATAGTTGACATGACACCTATCAACACCAGTCCCGAGACTTAACAAAGCATCCAAAAATATTTATTGAAGAACTGTATAAAAAACAGTGATACCATAATTTTTAAACAATTAACTGTCTTGACACCTATAAAAGTTTTTGTTAGATAGTTTGAAATACATTATTGGGCTCATGTATAAACAAATTAAGCATCTAACATGATAGTTGAGCGCTGGTCAGAGGTCCTAGGTTTAAGTCTCATATTACATATTTCTGTCCCCATTATGTTTATTATTGAACAACGTGCACAATGTTCTATGTGCATTTGTGCATCCTGTTATGTTCAGTTTCTGTGTTTGCCTGTTTGCCTATCCAAAGTCTTGTGTATCTATACACACATTCGCCTACTGCATAGTTCACTCAAATGCAAAGAATTATTTCTTTCATGACCAAGAAAATAATAATCTACCCAATCATGAGAATAAAAGAATTCCCACATTGACGAACAAGTATTAACCACGTATATAAATGACAGTTTGTGAAAAAAAGAAGCAAAGGTTATCAAAACAAAAGAAGTGGATCAGAGCTTACTCCCAGGGGACATCACCCACAAGCATCCAGTCACCATCCTTGTCCTCATAAGTAAGAACATATTCTGATCCATGCAGCAGATCCTTCAGCTTACTCTCACTCAGCATCTCCCTACCCGAAGCTCCATGAGATCCATACTGACCTGTTATCATACCAAAACTGCAGTAATTGGATCCATGCAAACATCTTTAAAGTGCAAAACTGAGATCAACATAAATTGCACAAATATCGTGCACATCTACAAAGACCATTATGCCAATTGAAATTCTAAAGTAGCTCACCTATGGTAAAACAGCTAAACATCTTCTCAAGGGAAGAAGAGAGATCCTGATATGCAGAGTAAGTTCTCAAGTCCACTTTCCTGAGATAAGGAGCACCATCCATGCTGACCTTAACAAACAAAGCACCAGACCCTGATTTTCCTTCTACTTCATCAGCATTTTTAGAAGTGGTGGCCAAAGTATTTTTCCGAAATGATCTTATAGGTGGCCAACCAACAACCTGTGCCCTGCCATGATCAAAGATCAAGACCATTTTTAAGGTTAAGCTCATTTTCTCATGAAACACCTCTTTTTCAAGTTATCTGCACTTACTTGGGAGCGGGTGCACTGCTATTGACATTTGGCGCACCAGTACGATTTGGACCGTTCTCATTTGCAGCACGAGGCCTCTCCTGAGATGCATGTTGAGGCAGAACCTCTTTCAATTTGGATAGCTGAGTCCCAGAGTTACTTTTTGCAATACTAGATTTCACACCCAAGTTTGAAGTAGCCTTAGGTGATAGCATTGCATTAACCTCAGTATTAGCAGCAAATTTTCCCTGTACCAAAGATTGCGTAGTTTCAGTGTTAGATATGTCAGCAGAAAGATCCAATATTCCAATTTCTTCAGATCAGACAATAATAAAAAATAAAAAAAGAAGCAGTTTTCACCTCGGAGAATCCATCCATAGCATCAGAGAACCCTCTTTTGTTGCCTGAAACCACTGTCTTCTGGGACAAGTAATTGTTATCCTTTGAAGAATGCAAAGGGAAGAGTGGCTTCTCATCAAGTTTTGCTGAGCTAAGCAAGTGGAGTTCTGGAACTCTTTCAGGGGATTGGGATCCAGGAAGCCCAAGCCTCAGCTCTGTAGCTCTCAAATTCAAACAGCCACTATTTTCTTCAGACACAGTAGAGATTGTAGAGCTGTCCACTGAAGAACAATCTGATAACCCCATGTAGTTACGCTCTTTCAGATCCGACCCATTCTGAGACACACTGTCCATGGAAGCCGAAGAAGCCAAGAAAGTTACATTGCTCTGACCCTCCTCCCCAGCTCCAAGAAGCGATGGAGACATCAGAATTCCAAAAATCGAACTCCAATTTCTTTTAAATCTGCTTTTAATAGGAAATTTGAATTAGAATTTTAACCTTCCATCTGAAGACCCCAACGAAAGAGCAAAACTGATTTTTGACTTAAAAAAAAAAAAAAACCCTTCAAATGAAGGCAACCAAAAAAAAAGAAGAAAAGGTCAATGCATTGAATCACAGCTGGGTACACTTGTTAAACAAACCATCCAATTAAACAGTCCTTGAATAAATCTTTTTTGTATGAATTTTGCCATTCATATCAAAATATGGTCACACAACTTACCCTCTTTCCAAAAGTAAACAACTGAAAAAAATGAGTATATGCAACCACAAATAGATTCAGATACAAAATAACACCATGAAGTTGTCCAGGCCTTAAGAATCATTGATTTCAAAGGCAATAAATGTACGAGTATAGATAATAATAGCCCTTTTGCTGTGTTGTACGCATTTACGAGCCGAAAATTGTAAAAAGTTCACCAAGAAATTGGTCAGTGAGCTAAACAACAAATTATCCAATTCTAAAAACAATTTGATTGCACTTTCAGGAAATAATCCTATAAATATTGATAGTACTACTAATCCCTAAATACCTCAAATGATAATATATACATTTTAACAAATTCAAAAGCAAAACAAGATTTTTAGAGTAGAAATATTTTTAAAAATAAATTAAAAAAAAATTACCCTGACCAAACCAATTGGAGGAACATATATACATGATACATATACATATACATAATAAATAAACACATAAACATACATGTAAAAACATACCTTCTTTTAAAGCAATTTGAACCTCAAAATTAAGTCCAAAACGTAAAGCAAATGCAATCACTCACTTGAACTTAGCTAAAAAAAATAAAACAAAAATGAGATAAAGCTAACTAAACTGAATTTGTATGCAAATAGATCTAAAGAACTAAACAATCAATCGCATGAACAAGTGAGAAAATTTTAATTTCAAGCACAATAACACTAATAGGAAGACATACCAGATTAACAATAAATATACAAATATATATATATATAGAGAGAGAGAGAGAGAGAGAGAGAATGATGGAAAATGAAGAGAAAGTTGAATCTGGGGGCAAATAGGACACAAATAGATTTGGTTTTGAGCTAAAACAGAATAGAAATTTCTGGAAGAGAGATTGAGAGAGTGGTGGATTTTACCTGAAGAAGCTTGAGAAGACGATGATGGAGTAAAACTTTTTCTTCGATTTTCTGAGCAAATTTACAGAAGAGAGAGAGAGAGAGAGAGAGCTCACTAAGGACCCTCCATTTGGCAGAAAGTAACAAAAGCTTGTTTGCTGTCTGATCTGAAGATCAATGCCAATAAAATATAACACTTTGAGAGCAGAAAACAAAAACAAAAACAAAAGGGCAAATTACATATACACCCCTCCAGGTTTGACAAAATTACAGATACCCCTGAGGTTTGAGAAATTACGAATTCCCCCCTGAATGCTATATTTGCATAAGAAATTAGGGGGTAATTTGTTATAAAATATAAACCTCAGGGGGTAAATTGTTATGAAAATACAAACCTCAGGGGGCGGGATGTAATTTCCGAAACCTCAGGGGGGTATCTGTAATTTAACCAAACCTGGAGGGGTGTATATGTAATTTGCCCAAAACAAAAACATAAAAAGTTTTATATCAAGAGGGATAAAAAAAAATAAAAATAAAAATAAAGAAGAAGCAAATTACCAACAACATGAGGTTTGACTAAAATACAGATTTCTCCTGATATTTGAGAAATTACATCTCACTTCTAAAGATTTATATTTAAGCCAAGTTTGGCATGATTGAAAAAAGATAAAAAATCAAAAAGTCACTATCCTATTTAAGTCACATCATCTTATTAACACATCACTTCAAACCCAACCTAAACCCAACCCATATTTCATAAAAAGTCAAAAAGTGCACTTATTTAGTCTTCCCAAACTAGGCCTTACATAACAAATTGTCTCTTAAGGTTTATATTTGCATAACAAATTACCCCATCATTTGTTATACAAATATAAGTATTAGGGGACAATTTATAATTTATCAAATCTCAAGAGGAATCTGTATTTTTATTAAATCTCAAGGGTGTTGGTAATTTGTCCAAAAAAAAATGATACATACTTTGCTCTCTTTATATTTGATAATTTTTTAAAAAAAAATTAATTCTTAAAATTTATTTATTTTTTGCTTTGATTTTTTATATTTTAAGTTTTTTTCATTTCATTCTTAAAATTAATTTTTATTAAAAATCAGATAAAAAAATATTACATAACATAAAAAAAATATATTATTATATTATAATTTAAGTATAAGTTATATATAATAAAATATTTTTATATTAGGTGACTTCTAACGTGTCATTTTATATCTAATTTGTAACAAAAATTAACTTTAAAAATAATGTGAAAAAACTTGAAATATAAATGACTAATATGAAAAAATAAATAAAATGAAAAAATCAAAAAGAAAAAATGACCGAACGAAAAGGGATAAAGCCTAATTTATGCAGGAAAATAATTGAAAGCATTTCTGCTTTTCAACTTGCACAGTTCGATTATCAGCCACAACCGTTTATGAAAATAAGAAAAATGCCTCATACACCCACTGGGGGTCGACCCCCAGTGAGGTGGCACTCCATAATTGGTCCAAAAAAAAATTATTTTCTTTTCTTTTCTTTTCTTTTTTTTTTGGGTTTCAACCAGTGGGGGCGCGACACCTCACTGGGGGTGCGACCCCACTGGGGGTATGCAGCAGTGTTGTGAAAATAATTGAAAGCATTTTTGCCTTTGGCTTATTTTGAAAAGTGAGTTATAATTTACCTCTCTTATAAAAAAAAATTACTTATAAGCAGTTGTTCATCAAAAAGCTACTTATAACCATTTTCTCAAAATAGCCACAACCGTTTTTATTTTACCTTTTTTTCCTTTAATTTTTAATTGAGATTTGAATTTTTATTTTTTATGGACTTTTAATTTGGAATTTTGATTTTTTTTTTTTTTTCCTACCAAAGTAAAGTAAAAGTAATAAAAAGACGTGTATTTGGTTAAGAGATTTGGTAAGGAATTTAAAAAAAAAAGAAAAAAAGTGTGTAAAACTATATAAAATGTAAATATATTTTATTCAAATTTCACTTTTTTTTTTTTCTTTCCCTCTTCAAATCTCTTCATAAATTGTTCAACTAAACACAGTGTTTGATCCTTAAATTCCACAAATTTTTTCAGTCAAATTTTTTTCCTTTTAAAATAGAGGAAATTAATCTAAGGTCTCTCTTCCATTTTTAGTAATGGAAGAGATTCACAATATTATTTTATGATATCTAAGGTCCCTCAACTCCACAAACATTTATCACAGAGAAATTTAACTTTCTCAAATCAAACCTCATTTCTCTCTCTCTCTCTCTCTCTCTCCAAACTTCTCTCCTGAAGTCTCCTTCACATCTCCAGACGATATCGATCGTCTCATCCCATAATTTCCATAACCTGGTCTCTCTCTCTACCATTGTTATCAGATGATGACAATGTGTCCGCCTCTATCGATCTCCTCACTGTTGCCTCTTTCATTTCTCGCCATCACCACCATCCAAACAACCACCGTTACTGAAGGCTTGTTCATACCGCCGTTGTAGCAGATCTTCGTCCATCCATCGTCGCCGGAAACTTTCTTCATCTCGAATCTACCACAATATCTCACATCAAACACCAAAACCTTCTCGAGACACACACAATCTCGAGGGTTTCAAATCAGTGATACACAGAAACATATGTAAATATAGTGAGAGAAAGTGTCGATGTAGAGAAAGTTTTTTTTTTTTTTGCGTATTTGCTTTGCTTTCTCTTTCTTCAGTTCAAGAGGCAATAGATGTGTGTTGTGTTCTATCTCTCTAGACTAGAGAGAGTGCTTTTAAAATCTACATCAAGATTGTTAGCTATTCTCTTTCTAAAAAATGAGTTCGTGTGTTAGGATAGAGAGTGTTAGTTGTTTGATTAGAAATATAAAACACTGCTCTGTATCTTTCCACTTCAACAAATACAAAAAACAGCCCAGGTATCTATTTTTGTGTTTTAATTCAATTATTTGTTGTTTGATTACTTTTCAACTCAAGGAACCACTCAATATTGAATTGGTTGTTGTATGAAAGATCTCCCAGAATTTCTCTACGAAGTCTCTGGGAAGTGAACCACTCAATATTAGATTGGTTGCTATATGAAAGATCTCCCAAAATTTCTCTGTGAAGTCCAGAGAAATTGATGACTCAATATTGGATTGGCTGTTGTACGAAAGATCTCCCAGAATTTCTCTACGAAGTCTCCGGGAAGTGAACCACTCAATATTAGATTGGTTGCTATATGAAAGATCTCCCAAAATTTCTCTGTGAAGTCCAGAGAAATTGATGACTCAATATTGGATTGGTTGTTGTACAAAAGATCTGCCAAAATTTCTGTGAAGTCCAAAGAAATTCTTTCCATAATTTCTTTGAAGAGAATTTCTCTGGGAAGTGAACCACACAATATTGGATTGGTTGTTGTATGAAATATCTCCCAAAATTTCTTTGTGAAGGTCAGAGAAATTTTGAAGAGAATTTCTCTGGGAAGTGAACCACTCAATATTGGATTGGTTATTGTATAAAAGATCTTTCAGAATTTCTCTGGAAAGAATTTTTCTGGATCGAATTTTCTCTAGATCGATATTGAAGGACTTTAAATATTATGAAAATATTATATGTTCTTTATGTTATAAAATCTTAATATTAAGGCCCCCGTTTGTTTTGGGTTATAGGAAGGGGATTGAGATTCATAGTGAGGTAGAACCTACTAATATCATGTTTGTTTTGAGAGATGGAGAGAGAATTCGTAATCCCCTCCGGATTACAAATCCCCTTGGGGAAGGGATTAGGATAGGCTTGTAGGACTTGGTATTAGAAAAATAATGCGGCGGACTAGAAATATTTTTTTTTTATTTATTTTTTATTTTATTTTTTACATGTCAGGCAGTTTTTTTTTAACATTAATGTTTAATTTTTTGTGTTTTTTGTTAAGTAAAAATCATTATTTTATTTATTTTGAAATTTTATTTTTTTTTATTTTTATTTTTTTAAAATTTTCTACATGTTGTGTATTTTTTTTAAAACATTAATGTTGAATGTTTTTGTATTTTTTTTATTTGTTTTTTATTTTATATTTATTTTATATAAAAATAATTTACACAATCTCTACACTAACAACTATCATCAAAATAAACACAATTTTACTTAATCCCCTCACTATCAATCTCCTCACTATCAATCATCTCAATTCTACCTCTGAAAACAAACGGGCTTAGGAATCCTAAAAAAAAATCCCCATTAAAATGTCCGTATATTTTTAAATTAAAAAGGTAAACATACTATGTGTGCAATGAAGAAGAGCACAGTGTGTTACGAAGCAATTGTAAATCTCTTTGTGTGCATGTCAGTTTTTGTGAATCTCTGTACATTTATCCATAACTGTAGAAATAAGTTATATGGGATAATTTCAAAATATGAAAAAAAAACGTGAGATAAGCTCCAAATTATATAATAGAATAAATTAGCTGAGGTGTGGGTTTAGAATATATATACATATATATATTTTCCACTAGCATTTTAGTTAAAGTATTGGTAAAAATAAATAAACGTGTTTGGCTAATAATTTTTGGGGTATTTTTTTTAAGGTTCTTGATATTATGATTTTATAGTAGAAAGGATATCAAATATTTTCATGATATCTAAGGTCCCCCAACATCAATCCAGAAAAAATTCAAGTTAGAGAAAATTGGTCCAGAAAAATTCTGGGTTTTTCTCTGAACTTCCCTAAACTTCCCACTGTAAATTTCTCTGCCTTTTTTTTTTTTTTTTGAACATAAGAATTCTCCTACCTCAACTCACTTCCTTACTTCTCAAATGTGAGAAAGAAAGGCAACAGTACAATATTATATACATACTTTCCATTATCAGAAGAATTCCCATTGAAGATGGAACTTCATCACTGTGAACAGCTGAATCCAGACCAGGTATCTCACTCCCTAGGTTCCCAACATCGAGGACTTCAGGTGGAAGAGCTGAAAAACCATCCTCCATTGAAGATGGAACTTCATCAGGAGAAGAAACTAGTAGAGATACCAATCCTTGTTCAAGCTGGTCCATGCATATGTATATATTTTTCAAATCCGACACTGCAGAGAGAGAGAGAGTTGATCAGAAGCTTGCTGCCATGGTTGCGCGTGGTGTTGAGGTTGGTGTTGAACTGAATTTTCTCTAGGTTGAAACCAGAGAAATTCTCTGGA